GCTCGATCAAGATCGCCTGCAAAGCACAATATTCACATGAGTAGCTACCATCGTCAGAATCCAAGTCTACGTATATTCTATAATATGCCTTTCGATATCCAAAGTCACTCTCAATTTGGTCTCAGAATTCTTGTTCTTGCAACGCGTTGTGCCAAACAATGATAGCATTTTGCTCGAATGGTAGGGTCAAACTGATTAATAAAATGTAGATATCCCACTCCTCATGTTACACAAAATGCTACCCAAATAGGCGACAGATAAACGGCGACAGCTAAACGCCTATAGAATAATAGCGGTTGGGCATATAAGCAATGATTGATTTGAAAAACGGGCCAGACCATACGCGAGCATCTGTGGACTAGTACAGGAGCTATTTCGAGCCTAGGACAAGGCTTTCGCTTCAAAACGCGATTGTTAACTGCCACCTGCGGTACCGTGATTTGTCTATATAATCCCCCTCCTACCTTCCTTATGTACCACACACATAGTATCCGCGCAGCAAAGAAGAAAGACAGAATCGCGAGGGTTTTCTGGATAGGCCTTCAAGCAAAGAACCACACCAACACCAATGAGTTCATCGCTCAGCAACGAGCATAGTAAGATTTGATACCGTGATGCGCAGTCTTGTTGGCTACACTGACCAACAACTTCAACTCCCCTTCGCACGTTGCTCGGGTAAAAATGGTATTCTGTCACATTAGCTGAGAATCTGGCGAGACGGAAGGATGAACTGACCTGCAAGAGTTCGTCAACGGATATACTTTCCAGCTGGCAAGGCAAATTTTTGATCTCGGGTTCCCATTCGTAGGTAGGATTCCTCAGCATCAATTTGGTGACAACATCAGCTAGAGCGCATAATTTCATTGTTGCAGGATTCATTTCTGATTCATGAATCTGGCAGCTATTCTCGACGCCCGCTAGGGAAATTTAGCCTTCGTAAACTCCTCTCATATAAGCGGACGACTTACTGATCTTGACTTCACCAGACTGTGTAAGCAAGATTGTTTCCGGGCCCAGGGTAGCGAGTGCTCTTCCTAGTCCGCGCAGATATTGTATTCCTTCCAATACCTATTCTGAGTTAGCTGCATCTGCATCTGCAAGATTCTTGTGTTTGACTCACCGGTTTGACAATTCCAAGCAGTTCATCGTTGGTAATTGAGCAGCTGCAGGCTAAAATGTGGCTGACTGACACTTCCGTTGGCTCCCAGACCAACGTGTAGGATGCATCCTGATGGTAACTCTCGATTAGCCTCAAGAAACTTGGATGAGAGATTTGTTCCATCAGTTCTGGGAAACCCGTAGCGGGCGAGAACGGTTGTTTAAGTTCTTGGATATGCACCAACTCTCCTTTCATCTTCTTGTGTCGGGCAAAGATCAGAGACCGATCTTGCGATGATGCAGCAACAGGTTCGAAAGTATCCCATGGGTTCTGGTACAGCTGTGGAATCTTTCGCTTTGGGCGATCCGGGAGTGATTTCTTCGAACTGAGGGCGATTGCGGCGGCAGTCATCTTCTGACTCGGCGAGGGTTGAATATCCGGAGAAGCAATTAGTTTTGAACTCGGGTGCTCCTGGAAGAAAGCAGATTGATCAACCCACACAGTCGGAGGCCGACTAGGGCTGACCTGATTGTCCTTCATCTTTGTGTGAGGTTTTGGCGACTTATGGAAAAGGGCAGTGGGAATTACACTGGGTTTTATATCGCCAAACCTTGATTTCTACATGCCCCTTTAGCCCTCATCGCGATGGTACTTGGCCACGATATCATATTACTATGTCACTGCAACTGAAAAGTGATATACCGCACATTAGCAGGCTATGGTGAACTCTTGATGATCTATATCCATCACAGTCGGTTGACGTTTCAACGTTTTCGCTTGGCAGCTTGCTGTGCATCAGAAAACAGCTCTTGAATGCTATTTTTTCGGACCTCACCAGCCCTCACTCTATTGTGGTGCTCGAACTATCGCACGAATTGCTCTCAGATGAAGGATTATGCTCTTTGTCAAAGTCTGTTTGGACCAAGGCGAACCCAGTAGGATTGGCATTATTCTTGGTCATGTGTAATACAAGCTGCAAATAAGCCCAAATTGTATCATACCGAGGGACAGAAGAACTCCAAGCGCTGAACCGAACGGCGTTGGTAAACTCGCGTGTATATTGAATTATGTCACTAGGTGCAACAACGATTCTATTAACTGCCCTGTATATCCTAGGAGCAATAAGAATAGGGGTCTTCTAGCTTGCTAACAATCCTCCCCCTTTCACAGGCATGCTATTGGAAAAGAATAGCACCACTGCGTGAGATACTTTTTTCACGTATAACTTTATCTGCATTCTTTACCGTTTCGCAGGCTATTATAGTATGGACATAAAGGGGTCTAATGCGAAGGCAGCGAGAGTAGTTGTGGTAAATTTTGAAAAATAACGACACAGCCTCCTCGATTCCTAGGATTACTTGTGGGGTCAATTCATGTAGTGCAGGGAGTGTTATGGGCTATGCCCCGTACAGCAAATTCTGCAAATTTTGACATAAATAGTACTCCTCTTCTCCGTTTGAGCCGATAGATCTCACGTCTCCAGCATCAATCCAAGCTCTCCAAGATGACATCTGAGCCTTTCCCTCGAGCACTGTGAGTTTATCTGATAACACCTGATCCCAGCTAACACTTGACAGATCGATTGAAGACTTGCTGTTGCCCCCAGAAGATGCCGGAAGGCAGCAAACGACCGCTGCGCCACCACAATCTACAGAAGCAGCCATTGTGACCCGCAGCGTCGATCTCGAAGAGGAGAAGCCAGCTACCTCCGCCAGTGTGAAGGGGATTCCTTTCAGATGGGAAAACTCCGGTTCACGCGCCGCAGCAAATAGACGGAAGCACCAGGCCCTGGCATCACAAAGGCGTCGCAATCGAGCCAAAGAGAACCTTAGCTTGATGGCGGATGTCGATGCGTACTCGCGTGAGGCTGGCAAGCTGTCGTACCTGGTGATGCAGCAAAGAGCTCAATTGCTCGTCCTGAATGGATTCAAAGAGCTAGTGTTGGCCAAGAAGACAGATCGTGCCATTGAAGTTCTCGGTCGTCATCCACAGGTAGTTTTTGCTTACGTCTTTAAAGCTACAGGTCTGCTAACCATTTCCCTAGCCACCAATGTTAGCTTCTAATATGTACGGATTCATCGCACAGTTTGTCAGATACTCTGGCAGTTACCTTGCATCAATAACGTGGAGTGACCCTTGCATGGATTTTGAGGTACAATACAAGGACGGAACAGCAGGGCAGGTGCGATGGCGGGTAATGATGCCATTAAAGCTACAGGGCACGCCTACTCTGGACGTCCAGGAGGAAATGAAAAAAGCCGACCTTGCTCAGAGTTTGTTGCCTATGGCAGAGTGGAGGTTTTTCGAAAGTCTGAATATCACCAAGGCAAATTCTTTGCTCTTGGTTTTCGAATAAGATAAAAATACGTTTGGACGTTCAAATGGACTCTGGCTTTTCCTATAGCGTTGCACGTTTTTTCCATAGGCACTCTGATTCAGTTGATAAAGCATGTCATCTTTCGCATCAAATATCGCAATGATCTTCACCGGTATGATCCTTTCCTGCAGACTGATGAATCACAGACTTTGAGAAGTGATCATCGCGGTAAGAAAAACCAAATAATAAAAGCCCAGTCCACGAACTGTCACTAAAGATGGCGCATTTCCTGACGCTTCAGCAGCTCTCGTAGGCTTTAGCTGTGTAGCAGCAGGGAGGTCGGACACTGTCATGGCCTCCACAGTGCTAGCCGTTGGCAGAGTGAATGTTGGGATGATCAAGGTCAATTGCACGAGGGCATTGTTCCAAGCTATCTTTCCTGTTGTGTTCGTGGTTTGAGTGGTCGCCATTTGTTTCTGATCCAAATCTTGGTGGTAGGGTCGCTCTCAGAGTCGCCTGCAAAATTTCAATGTTAGAACTTGTCAATCTTTCAAAATAGCACTGCAATGCGCATGAACCAATGTACTTACTCAGCTTGTGTATGTGACGTTAGCCGAAAAGTATGTAGCGTCCGATGAATCTAATTCTGCCTCCCAATGACACACGTACACCTCTCCCAACTAGACATTATCTCAACTGTCAAACCCTATGTACTATGCTGTGCACTATCTCTCGAAGCTGGTCACATCTTCACCATCTTCACCATCTTCACCATCTTCACCATCTTCACCATCTTCACCATCTTCACCATCTTCACCATCTTCACCATCTTCACCATCTTCACCATCTTCACCATCTTCACCATCTTCACCATCTTCACCATCTTCACCATCTTCACCATCTTCACCATCTTCACCATCTTCAACATCATTCCAATGTCCTCGTACCGGCTCTTACTTTCTTAGTGATTGTTATCGTACTATTTGCTCTATTTCGTTGTGTCTCAAAGCCCATTACGTTGGAGAATCGAGTTGGTCACTCCTCGAGTACAATCACGCCAAATTTCCTGATATGATTAACTGATTCATATCACCCGTGAAAGCTTACTACATCCAGTTAGCCATGCTTCTAATCCATTCCTCACATGTTGATACGTAAGTAATACGTGAAGTTCCTCACCGAGTAGTAGTATGGATTTACTGCAAATAGAACATCAAGGATGAAATGATTCGGGACATTTTGGAGACGAGATACGCCAAATCACTTCTTTCTGTGTTATCTATGTGGAAGCTGGAGAACACATGAGAAAAAGCAAGATAAAAAATTCCCTTCAATTTAAAATAAAATAAAGCTATCTATCGGTCTATATATCGATCTAAGTATCAATTTATCGGACTGGTAAATCAAAACGCCCAATTCAAAGTGAAGAATCTAGAGGAAATCAAGGCATCAATGGGCGGCGACGGCTACTCCTGGTCGTTGGCCAATTGGAGTACTAACCGAGCCTTGGGGTTGCATATTCTAGGCGATTGTGTCCCGGTACAGGTCATACATGGCTTTCGCCACCGTAAGGCGAGTTTCTCTCTAGATATCGTCTAGATCATGCCATCGCTCGTCTTTATCCCTTTCTGCAATGAATTTCGCTTCTGTACGTATGGCTCTTTGGCCAATTGCGAGGTTGGACTTGTTCTGCACGGCGTTGGTGTTCGACTTCAAAGCAGCGCCGGAGAAAACTGGATTGTGAGGTGCCTCATCTCCATCAAGGTTGATTGGGTTGGTTGACGACCCCTGTCTTGGACGCAATTGTGCAGTGGAGGAAAGGGGAATTTCATATCGGCCCGCATATACGAATTGAGTTGCAGGTGAACTGAGACGTCGTGTTTGCTCTCGCGGAAGTGATTGCCTCGCTGCTGACCCCAATGGGCAAGGGGTGGGAGACCGATCTTCAGAGCCTCTTCCAGTGTTACTCTGGAGCACACGCTGATAGCGTTCTTCTTGTTTGTCCCAGACCTCTTTGATCTTTGCATCTGCAGCGCGCTTGCCATTGCAGAAGCGAATGAAATCGGATCTCAGAATCCAGGAGCAAGAATTTTGCATTTTGTCGGTATCTTCTGACTTCAGGTCCTTCCATTTAATCTTCAACCAAGTACAGGGATCAGACTTGTATTTTTTATTCGGATTTTTCTTTTCTTCCGAGGCAATCCCGTTGATCCCGACGACATTGTTCTTGGTATACCGTCAGCCTTTGCTTCCTGGGCTAACTTTGATCTGAGAGATCCGCAGAGACGATTCGGAAATGCTGTTCATGGAGGCATTGGTATATCCATGTCTGTATTTGAACTGTATCTGGCTCCATTGCGAGGCCCGTACTGGAGAATGACAAAGGCTGATCCTCGCAGGGTTCCCCAGCCATCTATCAGAGCGTCGCCTTCCTCCTCATCATTGGAGGGATGAAGGGTGGCTAGAAGCTCTGGCTCTTCGGGCTCGGTGGTACCTCGGGCACTGGGAGACAAATAATCTTGATTCTGTAGATGAGTGGCTGCAGGAGGGCGTTCATGACCACTCGAGCGTGACCCGGCCCTTGTCTGGTCTACCGAGCCAGCATCAAGCATCGGGGTGTCGTCTCTCTCGATAGAATTCATGACTGAGCTGTTCAATGGCGGCGAAGAGTTGGCTTGGCCAATCGGGTCACTGTCGCTAAGCTGACCACCGTGTGCGTCTGACGAGTTGTGTGTTGGGTGGCGCCTTTGCGAAATAGACGCTTGTGCAGCTGCACTTTGGATCATTTGCGAAGAGATCAAATTATCGTTTGCTAGTTGCTCCATTTCAGGGAGGTGAGATTTATTGGCCTTGGGGGTAGAGTTTATAGTAACTCCACCATTATTTGGTGCCATATTGAATGGCCAACCGCGATGTTCTCTGCGAACAGCAAAAGGTTCAAGCGGTCGATAGCGGGTATTTATGCATTTCAAGACATCAAGTGGTGCCTTAGTTAAAACGCGTGACCGGATTATTTGACACTGAATTTTAAAGAAATGCGTACACCTCAAGTTTATATGATTTTGCTCAACTTTCAATCAGAGCAACTGAGCATCAACTTGGCTACACTCTAGCTCCTTGAAATTTGCCTCAGAATAAAGAGACAAGGGAATACGTGGGAATATAAACTCCATAAATTGCTGGCGAGTTCTGGGGCCTTGCCTTTGAGTATGATCACTTTTTTTGTCCGGAAACTTCATGTTGATCTTTACTTTGGGAGACATTTTTTCTCTCCAGCCAAATAACGAGTAAGGCCAGCTATTTCAGCGACCAACTTGTAAGCACTAGAGCAGCATCAATCCTCATAGAGATTTAATTGCGGCGACTTTCGCTAGGCTTTTTACCAATGCGTGCAGATGCGTTGACCTCCAAAATCATTCATTGGGTCAGTGTCAATTTGAGAAAGTTTGTGGAGGCAAAAAGTCAGTCTCAAGCTGCAAATTTGTCTTGTATGCAATACGGCTGCTACGTGGGATCAAAATGATACCTAGCGATTTGTTTCTTTTCTAGAATTTCCTGTGCAAGGATGGCGTTGAGAGTGGCCTTCCGTCGATCCTCGGTCCATTGGGTATTTAAAGTTACTATATTTATAAAGCATCCTTTGGCACATAATAACTAATCTTGCTAGCATTTGGGCTCGGGAAAGTACAGTTTACATGACAGAGGTGCGTGACCAAAATTGTATAGGGACCAGAACAGTAATATCGAAATCTACAGCTAAACAAAAAGCATGGATTGACATCTCGGCATGAAAACCAGCACAAATCCAACATCATTGTCAAATGATCAGTGGTACATGTGACCACAACCTTTCACAGTCTGAAATTTTCACATCACTTTGAGATCGCAGCTCGAAAACGCCTGATACACTCATCTTCTTTTATAATCTCCTCCAACTTGTAGAATTTGTAGATTGCCAGAAGTGCTGAACAGATAGAAAGTGTTGCTCCAGTTACAGCAGTTGTGACAATTGCCATTACCGACCAGTCTCCACCTTGAGACGTACATACGTTGATGACAGTGGTCAGCAGCCCGGCGGCAGCATTCAAGGATAGAGGCCTAGTTCGGTTTTAGTCTTGAGCCCGCGCTTTCCAAATCTGTCTCACAGCGTTGCTCACTTACACAAAGAGTTTATTGATCAGCCATAGGTAGTTTCCCCTGAGCTTTGGGAAGTGCATCAGCCACATGAGAGCGCCAATGCCACTCACAAGAAGGAGGCACGCAATTGCGAGTAATGGAGGGTTCTGGATGGTATGCAGCACGGTACGGCCTGCTTTGTTGACTTGCAAAGCCTTTTCGACCTGGTTTGAAGTTTGCAGTGAAGTGAACGTGCCGGGGATGACGAGATAACCGGCCAGCAGTGCCCAATTAGCCACACCGACCGTGATATTGAAGCTGATGTCCATTTCTGCCTCTTCCCTGAGCATTCTGACATAAGTGGTCTCAATCGGGTCGTCGATCTGGCTGGCTCTAGACAGCGCAGGCGTTACACTGTCGGCTGGGCGGAACGGAACAAGCGCAGACTTCATTGCAGGAAGGGCAATCCTTTCTGATCCCATTTTACCTGTCATACTTAGATGGTTGCCCACACAGTTAATATCAAGGGCTTTAGAATGCATTATATAGTCAGTAGTGCAAGATTGCTACCATTCTAATATAGAGGAAGCCGCAGCTTTGTTTCGCGGTGAGTCTGACAGAAAGTGGCATTGTTGCAAACTTGATTCAAACGACCGCAACTTGCAGATACTCACGAAGAATAAGCCTGGGCCTAAACATTTTCGCTTGAGATCAAATTCTGAGACGAGAAAATACCACGCCAGTCCCAAGTTGAGGGCCCAGCGACACTTTGAAGCGCATATTGTCAATTTCAGACGAGTCCCCGAATATAAAGCCTCCAGAAGACCTCTTTCTTCTTTAGATCTCCCACTCCATCTAATGGCTGCTTGGCTTGGTCTCGTCAGCGAGAATGAAGTATGGAATTTAGTGGATACCAACCGGTTGGAAGAACTTGTGCAGGAATTGCCCTATCCAAAATGGCAATATCCGTCCCTGCTCTACTTTACAGGAAATTCAAACTGCATGAAAGCTTTGCGAGCTCTGTTCCCCTACAACAACATCACACGCAAAGGCCCCGCAGGCTTGATTCGTCTTCATCTCAGCGCCAAGACCGCTCATACACAGAGCCCTATATTGTTTGCTGAAAGCAGTTTAAACCTGGAACACAGCATGGGCGACTCGAAATGGCTCAAGCATTCAACTACAAAGCATCGAAGCTTCTCCATAACGGGTACAGAAGGGCTGTTACCCCCTGCAAGGCTACAACAAGAAGTGAAGAGGGAACTTGTTTTACCATGGACCCAGGTCCTGTGTTTGTTCCTCGATTCCGCCGCTGACATTCAGGCCGCAAGAAACTTACTCCAACAACCGCGTCGACAGCTGACCATTGGCGACGAGGGTATTCCGGCTCCCACGCAGATAGTCATTGTCTTGACCAACGGCAAGCATACAACAAAAGCATTCACCCAAGAATACGCACAGCTTCAAAAGACGATCAAGACCGGGACAGTCACGATTCTCGATCTCAGTCCACGTAGCGGGCTTTCAGACAGCGTCGCTTTTGCGCCACTGGAAAGCTTGATCCTCAAGCAACTCGGTATAGTCCAGGCCGAGCAGCTATCAGCTTGTCGGCGGTTCTCAGCAGTTCACCTCAGTGCTTTCTGGAACACTCATGTACAAATTCACCAAAGGCTGCTCGATGCACCGCCATTTGATCTGTTGGAAAGGGCCCGAAGGGGCTATACGAAAAATGACACGATGGGCGATTGTCTTCGAGAGGTCAGCCACCATAGAAAATCCGTTAGCTGCTCAAGGGAGGACTTTGATGACCTTGTAGCTACGGCTTTCTTGATGGATGCCTACCCCCCTGGAATGCATGGTAAGTTCGATTTTCTGTTACTCGCACTTTCATATCTCGACGTCAAAGCTGAATTGCCCAGGTTTCTCGCCCATCTTGGTTTTCGCCGCAATTTATGAGAAACTATGTCTCAGTACCTGGGACGCAAAGTTCCAGGGCCATATTGCTGGCGTTTCATTCCGCTTCGTGCAAAGTTTCGGGCAGTTGAGCTCTGTGAGAACTTCAGCAGCCATTCGAAAGGAGACGCTGCATCGCTTGTATCGCCGGTGGGGTGGTCTTCGCTCCACTACCACTTGCTTGGTCTGTCTGTGTCGACCCCCGGAGCATATGCTCCCCTGCAAACATGCAGTATGTGACACCTGCGTCGTGATCTTCGGAACTCCAAGCTCACTTGGGGAGTATCATTTCGAGGTCGCTCAATGTCCTATCTGCGACGCGAGGTCCAACGTGACTGTCCGCCAACTACCTCCGACTAAGCATCCGGTGATTCTCAGTTTAGATGGCGGTGGAGTGCGCGGTCTGATTCAACTCGGCCTTCTGCGGGCTTTAGAAAGGCGCATTGGTGTTCCGATCGCGTCTCTGCCGGACCTGTGCACTGGAACTAGCGTAGGTACGTACGACCACTGTCCGAGTGACTATCATCGTTGATATACTAACAGAACTGCCGATTCAGGCGCATTATCCGCTATTGACATCATTCTCAGCCAATCTTCGGTCACTCAATGTTTCAATGCATTCCCCGGCTTTGCGCGAAAGATTTTTCGTCGTACCTCAAATAGCCCAGTTCCTCGCTGTATTCGGTGGTTGGCCTCGGCGTTCAACTTGACCACAGATGGTCTTTATGATTCCGATGGGCTGTCACAGATTTTCAAAGCAGCCGTTGGCCCATCTCGCCGCATGTTCGATGTTGCCATGAATAGCTCTGCGGGTTGCCGGGTCGCTATTGTGGCAAGCCGCACCTCCGATGGCAAAGCCTGTATCTTGGCCAATTACCGGGGAGCAAACCCGCGTTCCATGAATGCAGCCTATCTATTTTTGGCGCCACACGGCGATCGGGGGAATCCATTTTTATGGGAAGCGTAAGTCGACCGTCCGAGTGCAACCAATGTGAAAAGTAGTAGCGGATTTTGCTAACATTTGACTTTTGACAGGGCTATATGCAGTGTTGCAGCACCCTTGTGAGTTCAAACACTATGAGGCAGAATACAAGCTGACACTCTCCAGTTATTTCCAGACCAAGAATTTGCCAGGCCTTGGTCTCTTGCAGGACGGTGGGGTCCGGGCGAACAATCCGCTAGCCATTGCTTTGCGAGAATCGAACATCATCTGGCCCATGGCGAAAAGGCACGACCTTCTCCTATCTGTCGGAACAGGATTCTCCACGTCTAGCCCCAGCGATTCAACTGGCTTTCTTGATCGCATTTGGGAGGGTGCTCTTCCCCGGCTGTTTCGGGCCATGATGTCTTCTCCCTCTATGGATGGAAAGCAAGGGTTTTTGGAAGCTCTCAACTACCTTCCTCATTCGTCGACGCCCGATATCGTCCGTCTGGACCAGGCCATCGATGGTACACTGCCAGCATTAGACGATACGTGCTCGCTGGAAAAAATGTCAAATATGGACTTTGCAGTGCCAGCTGAGCTTGTGAGGAGCATTCTTGCGTCGGCCATGTTTTTCTTTGAGTTAGATGAGTCTCCCGTCCAGGGCAATGCTTCCTTTTATTGTCGGGGATCTGTTCTTTGTTCACGGCCAAACCCTTCCGAGATCCTGCAGCGAGTTCTTGTCGAGTTCCCCGGCGCCAGGTTTCGGTCTGGTCAGGACCACGATTTGGGAAGCATAGATCCAGTTGACATTTGCCAACTTTGTGGATATTTCAGAAAGCGCGTTGCTTTTCGGGTCACCAGCCTTGAGGAAAGGGTCTCAATTGAGATTGCCAATGATAC